AAATGCAAGCTATGGGACCCTCTGTAATATCTGGGCTTTGCTTCCTGAAGAAAGGTCCTTCTATAGTAAAGAGAGTACATGCTTCAGAGTACGACAAATGTTGTTTTGACTTTGAGTCTTCCACTTGGTAGCTGTGTGACCTGGGCACGTTAATCATTTTCTTCCAGCCCCATTTTCTCATTTCCAAAATGAGGTCTAGATATTAGCTGCTATAACTGGTGGACACCAAAAAGGACAATAAATGTATATGTACACACATGATTAATAATATAAAGTGAATTAAATACATTTAAGTGTCATCTACTCTCTGCTCACCCAGCCTGCCATTTCCTATCTCAATTGCTTGAATCAGCCACCTTTTATGTATTCACATACACACACACACAACCACCAAAGGAAAGCAAGAGTAAGGGAGAGGGAAAGAGATGTGAATTTCATTTCACTTCTTCAACTGCTTCCCTTAGGATAAAGACCTTTCCTTAATTAATGAAATTTTCTAATTTGCACAATGTAATAACTGACACAATTGAATTGAAGGAAGGATAGAGAGTAGACCACGCCACATTTCCATCAATCTGTATAAACATTTAAAGGTCTATAAGAATTGAAACGGTTTAAATTGAAGAAAATTCTCAAAAGGGATCTAACAAGTCACAAAAAGGAAATTTGGGGGCTGCTATATCAAAAAGGACAATGAACATTGTGTCTTAAAGTTGAAAATAAGCTTGATTTTTTTCTTTTTTAACTGCTTTGACAAGACTGACTGTTGGCTTTGATGTCATATTAAAAAAAAAATTCTACAATAAAAATTCCATAAGAGTTATGGGACCATTTCTTAATTATAACCATCGAAAGTAGGTAAACAAGGCAAGCACCTTCTTTCTAAATGAGTGAGTAGAAAAGCTAATGACAGATAACATTTAAAACATAAGGACCTTAAGAACTTCTTTACCTTCTCTTTTATGAAAGTGTTCAAGAGTGATGATATAATGAATGAGATAATGAGATCTGAAGTGGATAAATTGTAGGAAGGTAAAAAAATGGCTAAAGCATTGTGGAGAAAAAAACTATATATTCTAATTAGTTAAGCCTGGAAGTTGGCATTTAAGAGAAGCTAACGAGCTTATAGGGTTATTCATTTGGGTTTTTCATTTTGTTTTATTTTAGATAGATTGCAATTTATAAAATTGTGTGTCTGTCACTCCTACCAAACCATGAGGTCCTGGAGAGAAATGAGACACTATAATGAACCAGGGTCTTCAACTAGGCCCAGCCTACAGGATGCGTTTAGTGATGATGATGACAAAGACAACAACGATAGCAATAAAAAAATAAAAAATAAAAAAAAAAAAAGGATAGCTAGTGCAACTGGAATAATAACAGTTAACATGTATTCAGCTCTTACTGTGTCCCCAGACACATTTCTAAGAATTGTATATGACATATACGCATATGTATATACATACATCCTCATTTACTCTCATTTAATACTTACATGATCCTCAGTAGAGACAATGTTAGTTTTCCAATACATTTGCAGAATATCTTTTTTTTTTTTTTTTTTTTTATTAGAGACAGAGTCTTTCTCTGCCCACCACACTGAAGTGCAGTGGCGTGATCACAGCTTACTGCAGCCTGGAACTCCTGGACCAATAGATGCTCCCACTTGAACCTCCTAAGTAGCTGAGACTACAGGCATGCACCACCATGCCTGGCTAATTTATTATTTTTTGTTTCATTTTATTTGAGACAGGGTCTCGCTCTGTGGCCCAGGCTGGAGTGCAGTGGTGTGATCTTGGCTCACTGCAACCTCCACCTCCCGGGCTCAAGTGATCATCCCACCTCAGCCTCCTGAGCAGCTGAAGCTACAAGTGCACCACCATGCTTGCTAATTTTTCTATTTCCAGTAGAGACACGGCTTTGCCATGTTGCCCAGGTTGTTCTCAAACTCCTGGGTTCCAGCAATCTGCCCCACTCAGCCTCCCAAAGTATTGCAAACTGCTGGGATTACAAGTGTGAGCCACCACAGCCAGCCTCTTTTTGTTCTTAATAATTCATAATTCCTTGTCAGTTCACCCTTCAAAGAGCCATGGCTGTCTAACTCAGATTACAGAAAGTCAGATGGGACAGAAGACTGTGGCTCAAAGAGGATATCCCTGCCAGAGAAAAAGAAAAAGCTAGTCTGTTCATTCCTGAAGACTGTGAAGCCAAAACTTCAATGGGGGGCTATCCATGAATAGAGAGATTGTGTGCAATTTTACTTCTCTCTTGTGTACTTACTTATATATTCCTATATTAAACAAGGAACGTGCATTACTTCTAAAATAAGTAAAGAAAGACATTAAGGAGCCACTTTTTTAAGAGAATGATATGCTACAGTCCATGAAATGAATTCCAATCAACAATAAAATATTTAATGCTCGGATACATTACAATCAGTATTACAAAGGAAAAACAAGAAGCAATGTCATTATGAACATTGAGTGTCATTTGAGATTTCTGTCTACTTTGAGGCCTGAATGCTTTGAGCCCTGAAAATAATAATAAAAGTAATTTTGAGAAAGTAAAACAGGAGCTCTCTTGAAAGGTTAAGAAAGCTGGGATGAAAGAATAAAAGAGGGACAACTTACCAACAAGTTCAAATTGTCATAAAAATGATATGGAGCAGCTGTTCATCACCTCCATTTAGGACAAAACAAGACAAACATGTATCACACTGCAGTGAGTTTTTTGTTCAACAGTAAAACAACCTTCCCTAAGATAAACGTGATAGATACTGAAATTCATAGCTCTATATCCCTGTAAATACTTTAATATACATGGGCAACTCTTGAGGGTCTGCATATACAGTTTTGCACAGAAGCTAGACAAGTTACATTTTTGCAAGTCTAACGTCACTCTAATCCAATGGATTTAAACTATTTGAATTGTGATGAGAGGCCTTCATGTAGTGCTGTATACAAAACAAAGTTTCTCCTGTTGTATTTAAGTTAACTCAACTGTAAGCACACTAACACCCAACTTGTGAAACAGTGGACCAAAATTTAGGCTTCTTCAGAATATTCTCCAAAAGAAACTTTGCAGCAGAAAGATTTTAGAATAATATTGGAGCTCTACTTAGGTTCTCTCTCTTGCTAAACTATAATGAGAACTGGAATTACAACTGGACATGATGGACTCATTCAACTTGAACCCATTAAATTGATGATGCCAAAACTGTGGTATTCTGGTTCCTTGGGGAGTGAAGGGGGTGTAAATTAAAAGAACATCTATGTTTCTGTACCAATAAACTCTATAAATCTAGTTTCCTGTGTTTCATATTTATATTTAATATTTATGCAATGATTATTCATTAAACATATCACAATAGGCCAAATATTTATGTGATACTTTACAGCACTCAAACTTTTCTATCTGTGCCCTTATCTGATCCTTGCAACAACACTAAGCAGGCTCCAAATTTTATCTTTTTAATGATTCTGGAACTAAGGTTTGGAAAAGTTAAGTGATTGGCTCATGTTTACTCAGCTAGTAAGCATTAAAGACTAAAACTGGGGTCGTATGACTAATCCTTCAAGTCTCTTTCTGTTTCACCATTCTTCTCTACATTGTCCATTCTTTAGAATTTCACAGTATAGTTGGTGACACGCAGTTAAAATGGTAAAGGGTATTAATATGAAAATAACCCCATAAGGCAATGCAAAATTCACAGGAACCCAATAATCAAAGAGCGAGATTGTGGCATAAGTTACAAGGGCTGCTAGAATTTAGACAACCAAAAAATCATGGTGACCAGAGGAGGCAAAGATTGATTAAGGAAATGACTCCAGATGCTAAAATATGGATAAAGTTTTTAAGACTAAGAAGGGAAGGAAAAACATTTCAGTTAAAGGGAATGGCAGAAGCACTGGGAACCTCAGTGGTAGCTTCAGAGGACCATGAAGAGATTAGCTGCAGTGCAGGGTGCACAAAGAGTCAGGAGGATGTGTGGCAGGATCTGGGAGAACCTTGAATCGGGTAGAATTAATATTGACTAAATATCATTTTACTCGAGGCACTTTATAAGTCTGACATCATCTATTTCTGAAATGCCCTCAGGGTAATTACCAACCCTATTTTCCAGATGAGGAAATTGATATTTCAGTCATATTAAGTGGTTTGTCCAAAATCCTGTAGCTACTAGTGTGAATTACCAAAAAATGGCCACAATTTCCTGTCCTAGAAAGCATTCCCCTTTTCAATATGTCTTTGCCTCTTCTCCCAAACAGAAATGTAGACTATTTCTCCAACCCTTGCCTCAGGACTGGACTTGTGATAGAAATGTATCAGGAGCAGCATGGTTGCCAAAGTTAGGACCTAAGACACCTTGCAACATAGGTTTTTGTCAACTGGAAATGCAGCAGCCCTGTGAGCACAAAGCAGGTGGCCTAGACTCCTGGAGGATGAGAGGCCACGTGAAGGAGAACCTCAGTGCCGCAGCCAAGAGCCAGCAGATACTGTCTGAGATGAGTAGGACTTACATCCATCTGGGATTTTCCAGTTGACCCTCCCTCCAGCTAATTACAGCTGCATGAGTAAGACTGGGTGAGACTGGCAGAGGAACCCAACCAACACCCAGGATCATGAGAAGTGATCATTCTTATTTTCAGGTATTTCTAAACTTGATTCTTTCTATCATATGATGCCACTAATGAAATTGAAAATTTTCCAGTTATTAATTGGGAACTATTTTAAATATTTGAGCTAGAGAAAGAAATGAAGAGAATACTATTCTAAACAATGAAGTTGGCATTCTAAACTTGCAGAGAAGAAAGCTGAGGTACTTAGTAATTATAACAACTTGGGTTCTAGTTACTGAGTATCATAAAGGTGGTTTGAATTGAGAAGGCAACTTGCCCGCCTACTAATTTCTCTCTCTCTTTCTTAGTAATAAAAACCTCGTTGGGAGGAAGTGGCGCTGTCCATCCGCGCAGCTCTAGTTGGCTCCCCAACATGGAGCCATGGGAGGCCTTGGGAAGAAGAAGTATGAACAAGGCTCAGCCACCAACTACATCATCCAGAACAAAGCCCGTAAGAAGCTCCAGCCAAGCCTGGCTGACTTCAGGCGGCTGTGCATTCTGAAGGGCATTTATCCCCATGAACCCAAACACAAGAAGGAGGTTAACAAGCGTTCTACATCGGCCCGAACTTTTTACCTTATCAAAGACATCAGGTTTCTCCTCTATGAAGCCATCGTCAACAAGTTCCAGGAATACAAGGTGTTAGTCCGGAAGCTCCAGAAGGCCTATGGGAAGAGCAAGTGGAAACACTGTAGAGCATCTAAAGGACAATAAGCCCAACTACAAACTTGACCATATCATCAAGGAATGGTACCCCACGTTCATCGATGCCCTGCAGGACCTAGATAATGCCTTCTCCCTGTGCTTCCTCTTTTCCAGCTTCCCACAGACTGGCAAGGGCCACGTGCAGACCATTCACCAGGGAGTTCATGCACTACATCATGGCTGCTCGTGCCCTGCCACAAGGTCTTTCTGTCCATCAGAGGCATTCACTACCAGGTCAAGGTCCTGGGACAGCACCACTTATGCCTTCTCCCATGACCACCCAACAGACATGGACTACAGGGTCATGGCCACCTTCACCGAGTTCTAGGCCACCCTGCTGGGCTTTGTCAACTTCCGCCTCTACCAGTGGCTCAACCTCCACCACCCACTAAAGCTCAAGGGTCAGGCCCAAAGAGAGGCAAAGGCCATTGAGGGCACCCATGTGTTGGACTTAGCTCCATGGAGAAATTGGCAGCCCTCAGTGCCAGCCTGGTCTGCATGGTGGTGCCTGCCACAGAGAAGGAGCCTGAGGTGGATGAGTTTCCCGCCAATGGGGAGACGTCAGCGCAGGAGAAGACCACAGGAAGGAGCTGGAGGCACAGGAGAAGCACAAGAAGCTTTCTGAGGGCCTAAAGTTCTTCCTGAACCTAGAGGTGCCCCGAGAGGACCTGGCCTTTGTCATCAGGACTTTTTTGGGGGAAGTGTCCTGGGACAAGTCTTTGTGCATTGGGGCCACCTATGACGTCACGAACTCTCGCATCACCCACCAGATTGTCAACCGCCCTGGGCAGCAGACCTCCATCATTGGCAGGTGCTACCTACAGCCCTAGTGGGTGTTTGACTTGGTAAACGCTAGGCTTCTCCTCCCCATGGCAGAGTACTTCCCTGGGGTGCAGCTGCCCCCACACCTTTCACCTTTTGTGACCGAGAAGGAAGGAGATTACATCCCACCTGAAAAGCTGAGGCTGCTGGCTTTGCAGCGGGGAGGGAACCCACGAATCCTGAATGCGTCGGAAGAGAAGGAGGAAGAGGAAGACGACAACAAAGGTTATGGTGATAAACGGGGAGAAAATGAAGAGGAGGAGGAGGAAGATGCAGAGGCTGGTTCAAAAAAGGAGGAAGAGGCCCAGCTGGCAGCCGTGGAGGAGCAGAGAATGAAGGGGAAGACAGGCACCTTGAAGTTGGAGGATGAGCAGCGGCTAGCCCAGGAAGAGGAGAGGGAAGCCAAATGCCTGGCCATTATGATGATGAAGAAGCGGGAGAAGTACCTGTACCAGAAGATCATGTTTGGCAAGAGGTGAAAAACCAAGAAGCCAACAAGCTGGTGGAGAAGCGGAAAGCCCACGATGAGGTGGTGAGGTCTGAGAAGAAGGCCAAGAAGCCAAGGCTGGAGTGAGTGCCGGTGGCCCCTCACAGGACAAAGGCCAGCTCCTAGCAGCTGGACGTGGCAGAGGCAGGCCAGAGGACCTAAGTGTGATGGACACAGTCGCTCCTCTCCTCCTCCTTTCTCTAGTCAGTGATACACTCACTGTAAAAAAGACGACCCCTCATGCTCTCTGGCTGGGCTGGTAGACAGCCCTGGCCTCCCTTGGGTGGAGCTGCCCTGCTGGTGCCCAATCAGGCCTCTGTGCCCAGACTGATTCTGTGCTCCCAGGAGCCAGTGACAGGAGGGGCAGGGACCCATCCAACCCCTTACCTGCTGCCTCTATTCACCCTGGCTTTCCACAGCCCCCTCCCACACAGTTGGACCTATGCTTCTCAGGGTGCTGTGACAGAGAGAGGGTGGAGGGAGCATTTGTTATTAAATGACTGGACTTTGGTGGCAAAAAAAAAACAAAAAAAAATGCAACATTTTCTGATGACATGGGCCATCAGGAATAAAAGCTACATTTCCAGACCTCCTTTATAGATAGTAATAGCCATAAGACTAAGTTCTGGCAATTAAATTATAGTAACAGTGTTAGGAGCAGTTTTGCATCTCTTTTCCTTGTACTTTCATAGCACTTCTGGCCTGGAATACAGATATAAAGGCACATCCTCTGCCTCCATCCTGGATCAGGAAGATAAGGACCACACATTAGATATGGTAGTGTTGAAAGATGCCTGCATCCCTGATGACGCCATGGTGCCACCATGCCAATCCTTCTACCTTTGCATTATTTTCATGAAAAAGTGAACTATAATATTATCTTGATGAAGCTACCATAATTTTGGAGTTTTTGTCACATTCAACTCAGCTAATAAATTGATAATTGGTGCAGGAAAATTCTGGGAAGGAAGCATCAGAGGATTTGGTTCTCCCCAGGTACAAGAGACAAAGATGATGTCCAAAAATGAAATGGGTTTTTAGCCTCAATAATTCAAGACACTATAGTATTTTCCCTTTTCTGTATTCAGTTCCCACTCCTCCCCCTAGCCAACCAACACATCAGGGAGTCTTTGAATCATGGGAATTTATGCAGTCTTCTCATTCTGTAGTTTGAAGCCCATGAGCACCAAGTCACACTAGTTGCCCATTCCAAAATGCAGCCAGGTAGGAAGATGTTCACAGTATGAGTAGGATGGCCATAAAAAAAGACTGACCAAGATCAACACTCCAATCCTCCTCTTACTTGGAATAAAGCTGCTGTTATCCCAGAAACACTATAAACCTGTACAACTGAAACCTGTACAATGAAAAAATGTCATTTGAAAGACAGAAAGAAATGGTGCTCAAGATGCCTGGTATACATCAGTCAGCAAACAAAAGACACAAAAAACTTCTGCCTTCATGGAACTTAGATTCTGCCAGGGAGAGGCCAAGAATAGAAGAATAAATATAATCAGTAAAGTAAATGATACACGGTATATTAGACAATGATACATTCACTGTAAAAAGAGGAAAAGAGCAACTTGGGAAAAGCAGAAGTGTCCTCAGCAGGTGTTGGGAGGGAGCAATGTTCTTTTCTCAGGATATATATTTCATTAGAAGGTAGGCTAGCTGGAGTATATAAAACTTTCAGGAAAAGAGGTTTGTAAACATCCACAAAAGAGATGAACTTACAGCCGATAATTTTTCAGGAATAATAATGTGTTCAATCCCTTTGGGTCAGTGAGATAGCCTGAGTGGTTTAATCAAATATGGGTGAGATCCACATATAATGGTTCCCAGTTTAGAAAACTAAGGAGCCCAGTAGAATTAACATTATCAACAGTACTGTTTAATAATTAAAGTCACATAATAACTATAATCAGTTGAACATAGCTCACGTTTATTGAGCTTTAACTACACGCCAAGCACTGTGCAAACTGATTAAGAGAGATGATCTCTCAGAGGAGGTGGTACTTGAGGTAGAGGGAATCCTATTGAAATACTTCTCTTTTTTCTCTTTTTTTTTCTTTTTT